GTTTGTGGATTTAAACTTTGCATCTCAAGTTGCAAGTACAAGCATGCAGCCAGTACAGCTGAATACAGAAGATGCAGTAATTGCTATGTCTGTGGAGAATATTCATGCTGCTGGTCTCATGCAGGGAATGAAGTCAGTAGAAATTGAGACAGATGCTCAGTTAAAACAATTCCTTACACCAAAAACTGAGAAATTAAAACCAGAACAAGCTATATCTCAGGTATCTAATTTGAAGAAAAAAGAAACTGCAGCCGCTGCTCCAAATGTAACAGCTGAGTCATTACAGAGTCAGTCTGTGAAAGAAAATCAAAAGAAACCATTTGTGGGAAGTTGGGTTAAAGGCTTATTAAGCAGGGGTGCTTCTTTTATGCCACCTTGTGTTTCAGCTCATAGTAGAAACAATTTAAGTGATTTGCAGCCTTCAGTTAAAGGGGCAAATAATTTTGGTGGCTTTAAAACTAAAGGAATAAAGCAGAAGGCTAGCCGGGTATCCAAGAAATCTAGGGGTACAAGTAAGCCTCCTCCAGTGAGTAGGCCTCCACCAAGTCCTCCATCGTCCAATAGCACTGCTGCTCACCCATGTACTAATACCACTGCTCCTACTGAAGTTGTAAAGAGGGATGAAAGTGCCTCATCTGGAGCTAACCTCAACTACAATTCTCATGGAAATGAAAATTGTGTTTATTCAGTAAACCACGGAGGCTCAGTTGAAGATCAGATTCGTAAACTTCGCTTAAAACTTCTTAAAAAGCTAAAAGCAAAAAAGAAGAAATTAGCTGCTCTTACCTCTTCCTCCCAAAGTGGAAAACTTCCGAGTGAAAATTTAGAAGTGCCCCAGGGTGGGTCTCCAAATGATTGTGAATCTATAGACGACTTGTTAAATGAACTACAACATCAAATTGACATTGCAGATAAGAAGGCTGGTTGTACCACTGTTACTGGTGTTTCCCCGTACAGTAGTCAAAGTCATGAAGAAATTTTAGCAGAATTATTGTCTCCTACAACTGTTGTTTCAACAGAGCTATCAGGGAATGGGGAAGCTGACTTTAGGTATTTGGAAATGGGAGATAACAGTATATCAGCTCCCGCACCTGGTGAATCAAACAGTATTTCCCAGAACACATATCTAGGACAGGATCAAGTTTATTGCAGCCCCACCAAGAAGAATCCATGTGAAGTTCAACTAGACTCCCTAACAAATAATACCTGTGGTAGAACATTGAACTTGGAGAGTCCCATGAAGAATGATATTTTTGATGAGTTTTTTTCCACCTCATCATTAAATTCCTTAGCAAATGATGCATTAGACTTACCTCATTTTGATGAATATCTGTTTGAGAATTGTTAAATGCTTGTTAACTCTTTATTATTACTCTAAAAACGGTTTTCAAGTTGTGTTTATATTCTTGTGTTTATAGTGTTAATAGCCATGAGCAAAATGTAAGCAATTGAAGGTTTTACCTTTAGTTCTGCCCTTGAAGCATGTGATCTGTTTCACAAATTAAAATTATCAGGAATGTGTTCCCTCATGGGTTTCATTTTGTACTTGTAAGAGAATGAGGATTTCAGATTTTTTTTTTTTTTTTTTTTTGAGACAGAGCCTCAAGCTGTCCCCCTGGGTAGAGTGCTATGGCTTCACTGATCACAGCAACCTCCAACTCCTGGGCTCAAGCAAGTCTCCTGCCTCAGCCTCCCAAGTAGCTGGGACCACAGGCGCCCGCCACAATGCCCGGCTATTTTTTTTTGGTTGCAGCCATTGTTGTTTGGCGGGTCCAGGCTGGATTCGAACCTGCCACCTTAGGTGTATGTGACTGGCGCCTTAGCCGCTTGAGCCACAGGCGCCGAGCCCAGAATATTTTTAAAAGATAAAAAGTGTATATTAGTTTCTGGCACTTGTACAGTTGGATTCATAAAATTGCAAGGTTTCAAATTTTGGTCACATTCAGGAGTTTATATAAACTTAAGTTGTCATATGTGGTAGATGAATGCCTGACATTTTTCCTTAGGGTTGTTTGTATACTTTAATAGAGTGCTGTGGGGTGTAAACTTAGCCCATATCACTTGTCTCCTTTGTCTCTTTACAAAGGATGGCAGAAAAACCTTACTACTTTAAGTAATGTTAAATGATCAATAAATGATCTTTAATAGGAAAAAGTAATCTATTTTCTTGATGATGTGCAAAAATTCTACATGTTATCACTATCATGAATACTATCTTTCTTCCCAAGATGGTTCCATAACCAAAGTGACACCATTTAACATCCTGTTTTGGGAGAGAGTAATAACCAGCACTTCTAAGGCTTGCTATCTGTTGGGTTCTGTTATATATGAGACAGAGGTTAATTCATTTAAACTTTGACATCCCTGTGAGTGAGATATTTTTATCACATTTTACGAATAAGTTGTGAAGCCAAGACTGAGTAGAGGGTTTATTACAGCAGTTGAAAGTGCTGAGCTTATCAATGTATGTTTTACCCCACAAGCTTTATTTATAGTGTAAATACCCAAACAACACTACTGCTGTAATGATTTGAGTTAACAATAATTACTGAGGTTTAAGGGTGACAGTCAATGGTCTTTGGGTAAAATACTTTACTGAGGACTTAGTACTTGATAATTTATTTGCTAGTTTTACTCCTAACAACCCCTCTCCCCCGTTTTTTCTGTTTATAAAAGTAGTGTAATTTATTGTAAGGAAAAGCTGAGAAAATACAAGAAAACACCAAGGTTTTTGATCATGCATTTTAATCTTATTGATAACTACTACAAACATTTTCAAATTTTATGCACATAGACTTTAAATAAAAGATCCTCTTTTACCTGTTTGTATTATCTGTTTTTACGTACTGTTTAATGAGCGTTTTTCTACCTCATAGTTTTTGACATCTTTTGAATAGTTTTATAATAATTATATTGTATGGCTAAGCATTGTTTCATTAATCCTTTTAGATTCTAGATTTATACCATTTGGCTATTGTTAATTGCACAGTAGCAGTTATCCTGTTAATAAATTTTTGTACAGATGCAAGTTTTATTTTTTAGGGGTTGAATTGTTTGATCAAAGGATGTGCACATTTGAAGTTTTTAAATGATTGCATGATTGACTTCCCTGGACCCTCACCAATACTAAGTAGTAAAATTAATTATCCATGTTGTTGTTTATATTTCTGTGATTACTAGTGAGGCTAATCATTTTCTATATAACTGTTTGCCCAGTTGAGTTTCTTTGCAGACTTGCTTGTCTATCCTTTATTTGTTATTAACCCATTCAGCAAGTATTTCTAAGTTACTGCTAAGAGCCATGCCTGAGAATAGGAGGAAATACTTGCTCATTACAAGGAGATACATGCTTAAATGTAGGTGATGATAGGAGATACATACAGTTAATTCTTGTCAGTAGTTAATGGACTGTAAAGTTGCTGTGAACACTGAATTAGCAAATACTGAAATAATGCTCCTTGGGAAAATACAGGGTTAGGTTCCTGCCAGCCTGTAGTCCCAATATTTTTGTCAGTTAGTCGATATATAACTTTGTATTTTGTTTCTGTTTAAAGATACCTACTTCATCGGTATTGTTGGTTCATTACATTAACGTGGTCAGCAGCACTGTTACTCGGGCCTAAACAAAGCTTATTTCTAACAGAGTTTTCTCTATAAGACGCATCCCAGCCTCTTTGCTTAGAAACACTAGACAGCACTTCAGCACTGCACTTGAGTCCATTTTAAATAGTGAAAGCAACAAAAAGCACAGACATGCAAGAAACCAACAGTTGTTTTCAGTGTGAGAGCTAAAAGAGGAAGGTGGAGTACTGACTTGTTCAACCTCAGCTGGGCACATGGTTGTCAGGCAACTCAGAATTTTTCAGTGTACCTGTATGAATGGCCACTGAAAGCACTGCAACTATTGATTTAGGGGGTTAAAAATTTTAGCAAGTAAGTGGATTACCAAACATGGAATCTGTATAATGTTGATTGACTCTGTCACATCAGATAGTATTAAATACTATGGAGAAAAAGTGGATGCATGGGAAAAACTGTTTTAGACTGGGTGGACTCTGAAGGTTGCTTGGAGGTAAGTGACTTTATGAAGTTACGGTGTTAGCCATAAGACTGGAGGATGAACATTCCCAGAAGAGCAAAAATCATGAGGAATAAATGTGCTTAGAGTATATCTTAGTCTGTTACTATAGACTAGGTAGTTTGTAAGTAATATTTATTTATTTATTTATTTTGCAGTTTTTGGCCAGGGCTGGGTTTGAACCCACCTCCTCCAGCATATGGAGCCTGTGCCCTACTCCTTTGAGCCACAGGCACTGCCCATAATAAGTTTATTTTTCACAGTTCTGAAGACCAGGAAGTCCAAGATCAAGGTGCCAGAAGGTTGAATATCTGGGGAAGGCTTACTCTGCTTCATAGATGGCACCTCTTGCTGTGTTCTCACATGGTGGAAGAGGGTTGGGGATGCTCCCTTCAGCTACTTTTTGAGGGCAAGCTGCCATGACCTAACCACCTCCCCAAAAGACCCTACCTCAATACTACTTCGTTGGGGATTTAGGTTTCAACATACAAATTGTGAGGGCGGCACAAATTAGACCATAGCAGCATGACAGAACAGGGAAGAGACCAGCATGGCTTGAGTGGAGGCCTCAGGGGAAGGAGAGTTGGGATGGAGTAAAGGGGGTTGGCAGGCTTCAGATCTGATAGGGCTTTGTGGGTCATTGTTACGATGAAGACATCTGCTGAGACTAGAATAGGAAGGCTCAGAGCCCATATGGCACAGTGGTTGAGGCAGTAGCCACATAGACCTAGGCTGGGGGGTTCAAACTAGACCCAGACCAGCTGAACAATGACAACTGCAACTAAAAATAGCCAGGCATTGTGGCAGGCACCAGTAGTTCTAGCTACGAGGGAGACTGAGGCAAGACAATCTCCTAAACCCAAGAATTTGAGGTCACTGTGAGCTGTGATGCTATGGCACTGTACAAGGGTGATAAAGTGAGACTCTTGTCTCAAAAAATAAAAATGTTTTCAAAAGAATAGAATAGGAAACCATGGGAAGAGTTCAGGCAAGAGGGTAACATCTGATTTGGGCTTTTTTTTGAGAGAGTTTCACTGTGTCACCCTCGGTAGAGTGCCGTGGCATCACAGGTCATAGTAACCTAAAACTCTTAGGCTTAAGTGATTCTCTTGCCTCAGCTTCCCAAGTAGCTGGGACTAAAGTTGCCCACCACAACGCCCAGCTGTTTTTTTGTTATTGTGGTCATTGTTAAATTTAGCAGGCCTAGGCCAGGTTCGAACCCATTACCCCAGTGCATGTGGCCAGTGCCCTAACTATTGAGCTATGGGCATTGAGCCTGATTTGGGCTTTAAAAGGATCACTGAATTGTAGGAGTCCTAGCTTATATCACTCTTTTTAGAGTTTAACTGATGACTGTGAAAGTGTTTAAAACTAGGTCACTGTTGGATTTCAAGGGTAGAGCAGGATGTGTTGGTGGGTTGGATGTAGGGTAGAGGTGGGTTAAGGATGAACACCAGCTTTTGTCACCTGAGCACATGGGTTGTGCTATTTACTGAGACAGAACAGACTTGGGAAGGAAAGAATTTAGAGAGAGTGTGGGATTCCTATTAAACTTCTAAATGGAGATAATACCTAAAAAATGGATCTGCAACTTTGGAGCCCAGAAGAGGCAGACACTGGAAATACTCATTTGGTAGTTAAGAATACATGGACTATATTTAATGCCATAGGATGGGGTCAGTTGGGGAGTTATAACAGTTCTTGGAAACAAAAGGGGCAATAGGAGGAAAAACAGCTGAGTGTAGTGCCCTGAAAATCAAAGTAAGAGTATCTTTTTTTTTTAACCCCTTTAACAAGGGATGATTATCAGATGCTACTAACAAGTAATATGGGGTCCCCACCATGCTTTCCCAGGTCGCTTAGGGTCTCAACAAAAGTGCATAATACTCGCAAGTCTTTTCGCTCAGTTTCTGGAATTAAGAGAGTACATTTCATTTAATTTTTGTGGGAGTTTACTCCACAAAGATGAAATGGGAAGATTACTTGAGCCCAAGAGTTTGAGGCTGGAGTAAGCTGTGATCACTTCCCTTCAGCCTGGACAACACAGCCAGACCCCATCTCTTAAAAGAAAAGTGGCAGCAGATCTCAAGGGATTGGGGGAGGGCTCAGAGAATGCCAGAATGGGACATTTGGTGGAAGTAAGCTGGTTAGGAAGTGCTGTGCTTGAAAATCAAGCTTCTGGAGATAGCTGGATTACTAGTGATGACAAAGTCTGAAGTATGAAAGTACACAGCCAAAGTTAAGTGAGTTAATGGAAAGTGAGGAGGTAAAGGAACCGAGAAGCCAGCATGGTTGTGTGGATTGTTTATGGAAGGCAAGCCAGGAAGAGGCTGCTATGGGAGTTCAGGCCAGGAGAGGTTGAATCAGTCTGATGGGTTAGAGAAAGCATCCCAAAGTGACATTAAACTAATGATTTCATTCTGAGTAGGTTCCACAGGCAGCCTTGTTTAGGCACCCCTGCCATGCGCAAAGACACACGG